AGATAAAAGCTGATTTGGCTATTGGGAATGAGCAGAATTTCAGAATGGGGATAAGGAGAAATCATACTTTGGCAGCCCCTTGGATAATTAAATTAATTAAGTGCTCCAGAAGTCACATCATGTTTCTGGAAGCTATTTATGAGAGGACAGCCTGCCTGAAAACTGGTTAGCATCAATGCCCTGCCCCTATAAGGCCTCTTGCTAGAGCCCAGCAATCAGCAGCTATAACAGCCAAGCAGAAAAGCAGCCTGGTGTGGTGGATGCTGTGGTAGAGTTATTCACATGTTGGAGTTGTGGAACTCTTAAGGTTTTGGGGTCCCACTGACTATGGATATAGATAAAAGAATCTGTGACATTGCTTGCTTGTTTGCTTATTTTATATTATATTTTATTATTTTTATTTTATTTTATTATTTTACTTTATTATTGTTTTGTTTTGTTATGTTATGTTGTTTTATTTTATTTTATGTTTTATTTTATGTTATGTTTTATTTTATATTTTATTTTATGTTTTATTTTATTACTTTATTTTATTTATTATTTTTTATTATTTTTTTATTTGTTATGGTATTTGTATTTTATATTTCTAAACTGCCATCTCCCTCGAAGAGAGGCTCTGAGCCTTTCCAGAGAGCTAGCTCTTCACATAATGTGCCTGAAGTAGGATAACTTAAATTATAAATACTATAAATATAAATACTATAAATAAATATATTATATTATACAATATAATATATCATAAATAAAACAACATATAAAAACTAAAATTAAGAGGATTTTTTAAAAAATCCTTTAAAACTATAGAATAATCTCATAAACTGCAAAAGGCCATTTAATGTTGGTTATTACAGGAGGCTCTCATGGAGCTAGCCAGCCACATGGTTGCATGGTCCTCTGTGCCCTCCTCTCAAGGCCACAGAGCCAGGTTTTGACCCTTTTTCAGAAGGCCAAGAGAGTGGGGTCCCTTCTCACCTCTGGGGACAAGATGTTCCATAATACGACAGAGAAGGCTTTCTTCCTAGACCCCGCCGAATGAAACTCCTTGACTGATGAGTTCTGCAGCATTCCTTCCCTGCCTGAACAAGTGATGGGGCAAAGCCAGTTCTGTAGATAACCTGCTCCAATGCCATGTAGGGCTTTATAAGGTGATGACCAACACCTTGAATTGCACCCAAAAGCAAATTCAGTCACTCAGTATGGTTCAGACGGCTGAAGTTTCCAGATACTTTTCGAGGTTAGCTCCTGTAGAGTGCATTGCAATAGTTCAATCAGGAGATGATGAAGGTATGAGTGACTGAGCGAGGAGCTTCCTTATTACTGCTTCAAAAGCCAATTATTTAGCAATATTTTTCAACCTTGTGAAAAATTCAGCTTTGATCAAAGATTCAAGGGCATTGCACATATTTGCCATTGAATTGTTGTTGTTTTTTACTACAGACCAAATAGATTTTCTCCATAATGATCTATTCTAACCTGGCCTTTCAAGTGTTTCAATTGTACATTTATCTCCACTGTGACTGGGTTCACCCATTTTGTGGCTGGGTATTCTCTTCTTTTTTCCCATTTTTCCCAGCATTAGAGCCTTTTCCAGAAAGCTAGGTCATCACATATGTCTGAAATAGAATAACTTAAGCCTAGTCATAAAAAACAATTTGCTTTTAGTGATTCATCCTTTGAAACTATCTTTGCTCAATATAGATAGAATTAAAGGATGAATCACTAAAACCTAAAAAAAAAATTCTTAATAAATGAGGGTATCTCAAGAATTTGTGAGTCTATTAAATTGATTTACATAAGCAATTGTCTCACCAGAATATATGTTTTTTTCTATAATCTTATTTAAGTATTTTCTGGTCTTAGATTGTATTGCAGCTACCAATAAGTCACTAGATCATACTGTATATCTGGGACTTGAGAAAATATGGTAATCACAGAGGTAGAATAAACCATGACAGGAAAACTGCAGAAAAAAAGTCAAGTGGAGAAACTATCTATGACTATTATGTCCTCCCGGTATATTGAATAAAACCCCACAATCCTCAAATCAGCATGAATGTTGAAATCAAGTGTATATACACGATCTTGGGGAAGTTTTCTTGAAAAAATACTTTAAAAGAACTGAAGAAGCTTCTTGGATGGCAAAATGTCTTCAAGGAAAAACAAAAAAGTCCAGTTGCCTTTTGAAAAAGCACCTTTGGAACAATCATGACCTAGATGACTGAGAATTTCTATAGACATGCTTTAAAAGAGTTTGGCAGAAAAGAATTTTAAAAATATCCTTAGACTAATAATTTAACCAAATCAAAGCTATTCCAAGAGCAAAAAGGTCCAGGATGAGCAACAATCTCTACTTAATTCTCAAATAATCATGTAGCACACAGTTCAATACATCAGATTAGCTTTTAGGAATCTAAGCTGAGGTTAGGCCTTCTTCTTGATGGTTATATGGTTTTTTTTCAAGGTTAGCAATATAAGTATACTAGAAAACATTTTAGTGTTGCTAGTACTCATAATCCAGGCACTAAGATCACAAGTAATCATCATCATCCCAAACGAACAGCAGGTTGAAGGCCTCTTTATTGAAGTTACAGAAAGGTTGGTAGGTGCTTTTCAGTTTTGACAGATGGTTTTTGTCTGGAACTAGGAGAAAAACTGTTTGGGCCAAAGTCACCTAGCTGTCTAAGTGAGGGCTAGGATCTGGATTCCCCTGTTCCTACTCTAGCATATTAAATACTACCATGCTGGTTGTCAATTTTTATTTTTATAAATTCATGTATACATACATATACATGATAAAAAGAACCACGAATTCTCTAAAGAAACATGTTTTATTTAAAGTCTTAAATACCATCACCAGAATGAATTTGATTTACATTGATTGGTGTTCATCAAAAGGCCTAGTCTGCCTTTTCTCTCCCAACCTTGATTCCAGTTACTTTTAAAACAGATTATGTACAAGACAGCTGTGGTCACTGGAAGTATGCTATTTACATGACTAAATTATAAGCAGAGTTGCAGACATCTGAATATTAAAAAAATACAATCAAAAATAAATACTGCATAATGACCAGTTACGTACACATTTTCCATATGGTCGTGTCCTCCTTGTCTGAATTAGAAATATTTTTATAGGAATATGCATAAAGTGTGCACCAACTGCATATCACAGTATCAGGAAAAGAGTCATACACTTTAAAAATGTTTTTTATTTTTAGGGATTAATGCATGTGTTAGTATTCATTGATTGCTCATACACAGGTGATTAAATTATTTCAGTCAATATGTTTTTACCAGTCATCATTAACCTATACATAATCATGTAAAAGGTCAATTATCTTTCTTATCTAGGTAATTCTTTTATGAATGCAAAAGGGTTTGGTAAGTAAACAGAACTCCTGTCAATAAGAATTCCCCTTGGGGTGCAGGTGCTGTTTGAAATCACTGCAAGGGTACAATTCACCAAGCATTTTGACTGTATTAATTCCATTCACATTCAGTGGTACTCATGCATGGAACATGGGCAAACCTTGAAGGAATTCTGTTCTGTTTGAAAATTGAACCATATAAAAAAAATGGCAGTATACCCATTTTTCCTTTTGCCCTCCTATAATTCATGTACATATGGGGATATGTAAATAGAAAGTAAAATATTCATGAGTATGGCCTTAAATTAAAATATTACATATTTTAATACATATTAAAATATTATTGCAATGCCTCATCATTAAACAACAGGTCTGTAAGGCATCTAAAGATACAGGAAAAAAGGATGATATACTTCAACATGAACAAATTACATATCTTTTTATCCGGAAAAAAATGAGATCTGGACTTAAAATTATCCACCTTTCCAGTTACCCTAAATTACCTGATATAGGAAACAGGTGTTTGTTTCTTCAAATACCTGCAACATTTGCATTTTAGGTTCTTGGTGAGGGGTGTCAAAATTAATAAATGTTATGTATTTTGTTTAAGGCGTTTAAGAATTTAAAAAAAACCTGCAATCTCTTTGGGCATGTAATTCCCATTAATAGAAAGGTTAAGCAGATACAGGACTGCAGCTCAAATTATGACTTGAATGTCAAGTTCATATTCACTGATTTCCCATCCCAGTTTATGAAAACTGAACAGAAGAGTTTAATAGGTAGCAATTTATTTGGCTCAATGGAAGTGATAAGATGCTGATATTTACCAGGACTGTTCTGATATTTCTTTATCTAGAAATGATAGTTCAACCTTTGAATGAATGATGCTGGTGCTGAAAACAAATTTATTGAAGACGTTTTACAAATGGCCACATGATTCCAGTATTTTGCTGTAGAATTCAATTTGAAGATGAGAGGGAAAAGTTTTTCATGCACTGTACAATAAACAGCAAAAAGTTCAATTTGTTATCAAATACATGCTGAATTATTGTAATGTACTCCCCAAGCCATGTTGCAAAATTCTTTTCAACATGCTTGAAAAAAGTTCTTAAACAATTTTTTTCTCTCAAAGATTTCAGAAATGCAGAATCAGTCTGTATCCCTGAATCAAATAGGGAGCTTGAGAGTAGTAAGTCAAAAAGTAGCAATTTTGGAGGGGAATGATTGTCCTGGGAGCCAGGACAGCAACAAGAGGGCAAAAGGAGGATGGGGAAAACAAGAAGGGAAAGAAGTGTACAATTTGCACATATTTTGAACTTTACAAGGCTTGTACCTTTTACATTTAAATAAATTTAATATATTACATTTATTTCTTGTCACATAAACATAATTTGAGTATTTGCTAGAAATTATTAATTTTTCATTGTTGTCTGCAAAAACACAGACCATGATTGGTTTAAAGAATGATAACTTGGTGTGTCTATCACCTTGTTGCATTCTCTCCCTTTTAAAACCATGCACTAGTGAAATTTATTTTTAAAAATAATATAAATTGTTGAAAATGGCTGATTTATTCTTTTTTTTTTTTTTTGCAAGTTGCAGCCCCAAGAAAATAATTTTAAATGTTCAGCATAATCTGTGTCCATGCAAAAAAGTGTCTTTAATTCATACAGTACAGTATAGCCACAGAATTTTACTTTTCACTTAGTCCACGCTGGATTTGACTCTATTAGTAGCTGGAGTTACAAAGCCTGCCACTCTAAGTCTTCAAGCTTTCTGATAAGGCAAGTTTCCTCTGCTGTTAATGAATGCAAAGACCGCTCCCTTTTCCTTTTTCTTCTAATGATCTGCAGCATGACTTCTTTGGGTAGCTCCATATTTCTGTGGCATAACCAGGTTTGGGTGGGTGCGGGCAGAAAAGGGCCAGTAAAGAAAAGGGAACAAGAAAACAGACGTGCCATTGAAGGGATTCTTGTTGCATGAGACAACTTGATTCTTTAGTTTAATCCATGGCTTCAAATTGGATTAAAAGTTGAGTGTCACTGAAGTCCAAACCATTCAGTTCTTCCAGTTCCACTCCTTCACCTGAGGACTTCCTTTAGAGCACAATGTGTGCAACTTCCTCTGAGAATACAGGATCGCTTTCTAGCCCTAGAAACAGGCTCCAAAGACGCAACATTAAGCATGCAGTGTTACCAGAGCTTGCGACCTGTTAAATATTTTTTGTAACGCTGGTTGCTATGATAAAGTTCACAGCTGCTATGAGCGAGCGTACGATGGTCCTGTTGAACTTTCAAGAGATGATTGGGAAGCCCTTCTTGTAAGAGGGGCCAAAGTTGGATCTACTAGGGACGAAGGAGGGAATAGTTTAAACCAGCCAATCACCATATTGGACAGATCCAGTTCTTCTAAAAGTATCTGTGCCACTCCCATAAAGGATTTGTGATCCATACGTCCATAGTCTCCCCATACAATAATCTGTTGAATTAAAAAGAAATAATAGATTTTAAGGAAGTGGCAAAGGAAATGCATTATTTTATATAGAATAGTTCTAAGATGGATAGGCTGATATGTGCTGATTTAATGAACCAAACAAGAAAAATATGAGCTGGAAACACTGCCTGGGGTCCAAATTACTTTTACTCAAGTTCATTTTCTAATTTCATCTTCTCCCTGAGCCATATTATGATGTACCTAAAGAGTCCCTTAACTTTTGAAGAATGGAATGGCCTTTGATGGCTCATGTTACATTTCATCTCAAATGAAGATTAGATTCTAATAGAGCTAAATCCAACCAAAAAAAATCTCTTCATTATTTAAAACATTGATACATTTGATTACATCAAAAAAAGTCTAGCAAATTATGTTTGCAAATGCAAAGACTATCCAAAAGATACAATTAACATTAACCAGGGTTTAATTCTAAAATCCTAAAAATGCAATTCATTATCAAAACAAAGCACATTTTTTTGACTTTACTAGATCTGGCATGTGGAGTAAACAATAACTCAAATCTAGCTACCCTGCTGAAATGCTCAGAATATGTCTGATAATAACTCCCTTCCTAGCACATTTTGTAGCAATGTAGCAATCAAAGCAACACAAATATCTACAAAAATGAGAGCTTAAAAAGAACATGAGTCATTGATTCCACCTTTTATATATAAGAACAGGTAGATAGAACAAAAATACTTCTATGAAAGGGTAAAGACTGCAAGTCCAACATAAACCCCTGATGATATCCTGGACAAGTTCATGTGCTTGGCAAGAATTTCAAATAATTTGCCATAGTCTTTTCTTAAAGTGTTCTTTCCACATCAGTCATCCCCCATTCAGCAAAGGTTATGAGGTCTGTTCTTAATAGTTCTCAAGCTAGCACCTTAAATTGGACCAGTGTAAAGACTTGAAGATAGTTCAGTTCCACAACAATGGGTAGATAAAAGGTGGAACATCATATGAATTTAGGTCCTTTCATACCAGAATGACTGGTAACCTGGCTTGAATCTCATTACAGATCCATCTCTCAGATTTTTTTATTTTTAAACACTTTGAACTTTTTCAGGGCAATAAATGTAAAAAATAATAGATTTAAATGTATTAATCCAAATAATTGTTTACAATTCAAAATATGGCTATATGAATGATAATCTGGAAGCAACTCCCAATAACTACAACATACCATTTCTATGTAACTTTTCACCAATTACGCTATGAGGCTTTTAATCTGCAGTCTTGGGTTTAATTTTTATTTACTGCGGTTTCCAATAGTATTTTGTATTGTACTTCTATTTAGGTCACAGCAGCAAGCAGCATCTAGCTGACTTTGGCTAATTTTGGAAAAATGAATCAGGGTTAGACCTGATTAGCATAAGAATGGAAGAGCATTATTAAATCTCAAGGCTAGACAGTGTTTGACTACGAGAATAATGCTCCCTTTTGCTCCCTTCTACAAAGGGAAAATAGCAAGAATGAATGTGAAAACAACAGAGGATTAATTTTGCGAAGTGTCGTAGGAAGCTGGTAGAATTTTGATAGAAAAAGTGCAAGAAGTAACAATGACTAAAATTTAGGAAATGCAGTGCAGCGTTACACCATATAGTGATGAATGTATTACTTTTTTGCACTTCAAATGGTCATTAATAACCACATGAATGTAGCAAGAAAATTATGTTAGCTGATTTAATAAAAGTATATGACAAAATAAATCAGCTGGAATTATGGAATGTTTTAAGTGACTATAGAGATGAAGACTGATTGCTAAATGCAGTAAGAATGATATAGGATAAGGAAGCTTGGGTGAGAATAAATGGAATGCTTAGTAAATAGTTGGATATTGAGCAGGGAATAAGATAAGAATGTGTGTTGCCCCCTTTTTTATTTAATGCATTTACAAATAAATATTGATGTCATTAGCAGTGAGTTGATTGGGATGTGAATATTTGTGTAGCTTTGGACAAAGATGATATCGTGTTATTGGCTGAGAACCCAAATGATTTGCAATAGATTACGGCTATATGATACAACAAGTAACATAGAAAATAATGTATTGAAGATAAAGTTAACTTTTATAAGAAAACTGTGTTAATATTGGCAAGTTATACATACTGTAAATGGCAAAAGACCAGAGGACATAGGCAGTGTACTTTGGTAGAAGAAAAAATGGATGAAGAATTGTCAGTTGTGCGAAGATAAGAAATAGCAAGTAGTATATGGTATATTGTGAAATAAATATATGGGGGGGGGGAAGCAAGAATGGCTGTGTTTCTCTCTACTTTGTGATATGAAAGTGAGAGTTGATATGAGAGGAGAAACAGAAAAATAAGTTGACCACAGAAGGAATGGGTTAGGTAGGTGTGGTAAAACAAGAAGGTAGAGTCAAACAGTAATTGATTGCTAAATTAATGCAGACAGAATACAAAATAGAGTAACCAGCATGAAATGCATTCTTATTTTTATTGGTTTGGGGTTCACAGAGAGAATAAATGAGAAATTCCAAAACCAATATATGAAAGAGTGAATGGTTGAAAGAAACGAAAGACCCTGAGGCTGGATGAGTTGATGAGTTCCTCAAAAAGAAATGAGAAGTAGAAAGAACAAAAAGAAATGCATGAAATGGGGTATGGAAGTAGTTGGAGGTAGGATGCTTTGCAAAGATAGAAAACTTTGCAGAAGCATGGCAGATTGTAATACTGGTAGTATAAATTAGTTTTAGCTATATTGCCTTTTCTTTTTTTATTATCATTTAATTTCTTTAGCTTACTCTTTCTTTTCTTCTGCACTCTGCATAAAATTGCTTATCTCAAATGGAAAAACAAGATGGATGTGTGTATGTGTATGTTAAATATTTATGCAAAAGCAAGGTAGGATTTTATTTGTTTATAAAGTTGAAAATGGATTAGCATAATAGAGTGCTTAAAGTATTATTATGCCATAAAACAGCTGGGGGGGGAGGTTAGTCTTAGCTATATTAAATTAATATCCTAGAGCACATCAGGCCACAACCAGCCAAGAAAAACTACTTGCAACTGAGGCACGAAGGAATTGAAGGACAGATGAAAGGTATATAGCCTAAGTAAAACTTAGCAGCCAGTAGCAGCTACTCCCCCTTGCCTACTTGCTCTCACAGGCTACTGTTTCCTTACAGGGCTACATGGGGGGTTGTTTAAGGAAATCATCCAATGCTTCAGGGGCTTCTTTTTGATTTTATGGGGAACAACTAGAAAAGAAACTTTTATCAGGAGCACAAATAGTGTAACACATCTTGAGAAGTTCAATGGAGCTATGCCTACTGCATGATGGTTGGTGATATAAAAAAGGCTTAATTTGCAACTTCAATAATGTCTCAAGTAGCAACCCAGCAACTCCTTTTATATACTTCACACTGAGATGTACATTGTTCTTGTTGTAGTAGCTACTGAGGTGTTCAGTGCACCATCTGGTTTATTACAGTATGTAGAATTAATGTAAATGTTTAAGATCCAAAATGTTGAGGAGGGGTTTTATTGCTACACTGCTACAATGTTCTCTTGACCTTTCATTTTGTTGAGCTAACTGAAGCAGATGGTGAAGATCTTTGCATGATAGAGTGGTGTCCCTGCCTTAAAAGGGATGATAGTGTTCCACTCCTATAAAAACTCTCCATTTAAAAGTTATGGTAAATACTTCACAGGTGCTTCTACAGTTATCATCGTCACAGATTTCTGTAGTTAGCATGCCTATTAGCAACCTTAGCTGACTAAACAGCTGTGCCGTTCTTGAAGCAAAATAGTCTATCATACTTGTCCAAGTACTAATGACCTATAATAGTATGTGGGAATGACCTTGGGAGACAGGTACGAGGAAATATGATGCCCATGGATTTCCAGTAGTTTCCTATTCATTCTTTCAAGGGCTGAGAGAAAGTGTCTGGTCCAAGGACACTCCGCTGGTTTGCGCTGAAGGCAGGGCTAGAATTCATAGTTTTCTGGTTTTAGCCTGGTGCTGTGATGGTTCCGAAGAAGCAGCTTTTCAAAGAACTTTGAGGCTTTATTTATCTTAAAGAATCCTTTTATTGCTACATAGCTTCGGCACATACATAATGAAGCCAAAAACTGAATCCTCCCACCCCCAATCACCCGTAACAAGCATAACTCACTCCTTCATTTTACAGTCATCAATCACGTTCTCCAATTAGTTTGAAGTGTGAACTGTCCCTCCCGTAACTCCTCTGGTTACAGCTGACCTTGGCAATGCTGTACTGAAATATTGTTGTGGTTAACTATCATACTTTCCCACCCACTATTCTAACACTGTCTGCTTTAACTCTAGAAGTGATATGCAAGCTAAATAAAACATGTTTGCTTCTTCATATATGGCAAGCAAGAACATCTGATGTTAGCAGTCTTGACAGGTGCCTTAATCACAACCCCAAACTAGTTTTTGAAACAATTGTACAGGCTACAAGTTAGCTCCATTGATGGCTTATTAGCTCTTATTGCCAGCTACTAAAAAGCTTCATCACTGGTATATGAAATCTGTAAACAACTTGGAAAAAGAAATCTGGTAATGTTCTTCCCACAGCAGGTGTTAGAAGGTGTTCCCCTTGGCTGAACAAAGATGCCCTTTGATGTAGACCCAATGGAAACCACAGCCCATTTTTTAATTATACTGCAAATTCTACAGCCACTCTCTTTGTAACTGATCTCCCCATTCCTCTCTAAATTCACAGGACAATTCTGTTTTCCTAAACAATGCTAAGTTGTCTTATACCATGTAAAATCTGCCCTGCAATGAGCAATTATTGTTGATGATTATGCAATGTATTACTACGGTGGTCTTTAGGGGTCTATGGTCATAATATAATCTATTCATCCTGAACTTCAGCTTCTAGCAAGATGCCTTTTCTATTATACACTTGTTTAAGTACTTAACTTCCCTAGGAAAACCCTACAAACAATGCTGCCTTATGATCACTTACAAAAGGACCTCCTTGATTGGGTTGCCTGCTCTTTGGAATGCTTCTCCTCCTGTGCAAGGGCTGCTTGCCTTTACATTGGCTATGGAAATACTACCTTTTCAGGGAGCTCTTCTCAGTATTAAAGGTGGGGACAAAAGTTTATTTATTTGCATTAATTCATTTATTTCTCTTCAATTCTTTTTTAATATGTATATTTTACATTAACTATTGCAGGGCTTTTCAACCAGTTGGCACCTGGCAGGTGGTACGCGACCATCCTAGAAAAGTAGCGGGGAAGGGGAATGAGCTGAACCAGTAGCAGCACTGCACAAGCCTGAGCAAGAGATGGCTGGAGCTGCAGGGCTGTCCGGGCTCAGCGGAAGCACCAGGATCAGCGCCAGGATCAGCCAGGCTCCATCTGCAGCTCGGCGCTGATCCTGGTGCTTCTGCTGAGCCCTGAAGAAGCACCAATCAGCTGGAAAGCAGCACTGATCCTGGCACTTCTGCTGAGCCCAGAAGAAGTGCCGATCAGCTGGAATGTTGCAGCATCTCCAGGGTCTTGTGATTCACATTCAGATGCTTGGCAACTGATTCATATTTATGACGGTCACAGTGTCCCGAGGTCATGTGAAGTGATGAACACCTGCTGCAACCACCCAGCAGATGGGGGGAATAAAAACCAAACATCCCCCCACCCCTGCTGCCAATTCTCAACAGAAATGCTCACAACAATAAAAATCTCGGACAGGAGGAAGAGCGCCACCGGGTGGGCAGGCAGGTGTCTTGCTCGGTTGTGTCTTTGGGGGCACTTTTTTCAGTGCCATTGTAACTTCGAACAGTCACTAAGCGAACTGTTGTAAGTCAAGGACTACCTGTACTTTATCACTTTTTTCCTTTTTTGGGGGGGGGTCATCAAGTTTTTGACACCTTGCTAGGCAACTGGTGGTACTCAGATGTTGCCATATCCTAAAAGTAGTACAATGGGTGAAAAGGTTGAAAAGCCCTGAACTATTGAACGGGAATTTTTTTTAGGATTTTTTTGAGTGCAACTGAAATATTTTATGGGAAGCAGCAAAGACATTTTTAAAAATGAAGAAATAAATATATGAATCTGCATAGTAACAATGCAAATTACCTGTAAAACTTTCCCTTGAGAGTTCTCTTCAAATGACAACAGCTGCTGGTAAAGAGGTTCCAGCGTTTTTCTTGCCACTTTTGTTTTCTTTTTGGCTATACAGACTCCATTTTCTAATAGATACACCTTTACATACGGTGCTTTGGAGGGAAAAATATAAACAACTGTTAAGGAAATTTTACATTAGTTATACTCTTAAGCAGTCAGTGATATTTAGCTTCAAATGAATATATCTTCACACAGTATAGTGCATTTATGAATTAACAAAATAAATTACTTATGCAAGCTTCTCTTTCTGTCCTTTGTCCCTCTTCCCCAACATTGGGAATGAGCAAATACTGTGTTTCCCTGAAAATAAGACCCGGTCTTATATTTCTTTTGCCTCCAAAACAGGCACCAGGTCTTATTTTCGAGGGATGCCTTACCTTAGGACTGTCGCAGCCAGGTCTCCCATGCCCTGACATCTGCTTTGCCTCACCATCCCACTTCTTCTGTGGCCGCTCGCCACTGCTCACACGTGTCACCCCCGGCCTTTGTTTTGTCATCAGAGGCCTTCAGGAGAAGCCTCTGAAGCCAAGAAATTCTGGATTGACGTGTGCGACACCCCCGAGCTCCATTTCGCCATCAGAGGCCTTTCCTGAAAGACTCTGCCGGAAAAACGGAGACCGAGAGGCATCATGCACGTCAGTCTGGAGCTTGTTTCTTGGCTGCAGAGGCAAAGCCCATTTTCAAAGGGCTTTGACGGCAAAATGGAAGCCAGGGGGGTGATGCGCATGAGCGGCAGCAAGGGCTGCAGAAGTGGGATGGTGAGACGAAGCAGATGTCGGGGTGTGGAGACCTTACTGCAATTTTCCTAAGGTAAGTGGGTGCAGGGCCGTTCCAGCCCCCCCAACCCCGCTCTAGCTTGATTTTTACCCATGTGCCTTTTCCCGCCTCGTGCAACCAGGTGTAATGGAGTGGGTGGGGTCTTAAGTAGGGCTTATTTTTAGGGTAGGGCTTATATTGCATGTGTAAAAATCAAGCTACAGCTTATTTTGGTGTAGGTCTTATTTTTGGGGAAATACGGTACTAGTAGGATTGCTTCAGGGTTCAATAGATGTTTAGTCTTCAACAGAAGATAAAACGAAGCAGAAGGGCAATTCACAGTTGTAGCTTTGAATCCTAAGAATGCTAAGAGTTTAGCTTAGAATTCAGATTTAACCATAGTTTCAGTTGGGCAACTGTGACCATCCTAGACCAAGCCATGTCCAAAAATGCTAGGGAATTTCTAGAAGCCCAGCAATCTGACAAATTAGCCATCAATAGACACATAGACATAAACAATATCTATATACTATGCAAAAGAGACAATCAAAAACCAAAAAGGGAACAAAAAGACCAAAGCACCTCACCATCAGCAATCAGCACCCAGATAAACACAGATTATTTCCAAGATTAACATCAGACCAACAATCAAGTAAACAATACTCCAATCAATGAACTGCCAAACAAGATAGCTCAGCCAAAGAATTTTAAGACCACTCCCATCAACACTGACAGGGCAAGCCAGTAGTTATATAAATTGAGAGCAAACCCCACTCTTTACTAGCACTGATGATGTTATCTAGTTTGCAAGAAAACAACTAAGCTCAGAGAGCATCAAGGACCCCTCATACTAACAGTTTCAATGCATATGCCAATATAGTATTATTAATTAATTTCCTATATCAAAACTGGAACAGAGTTAAGAAAATTGAATTACAAAAAGTAATACTCTCTATTGTGCAGATCTTGTCTCTAAAGAAGAGGACCTACAGGGATGTTCAGTACCTAAAGCTGAGGCTACTTTCACTAAAGGTTATGATTATGGAAAAATGAATTGCTCACATACTATCACAGCATTTATAGTTCTGGGATCTAATCATACTTCTTTTACCTGGCAGTGTCTTTGAACCTGGTTTTACAACAAGGCCTCGTGCTCTTATTATTTCTACTTCCAATTGTCCCTTTTTGTCCATCATTCCAACTTGGATATCACCTAAAGAGACAAAAAATGCAAGTACTTAAATGAAAAGCAGATACAATTGTATGAATGCATACGTGTGCACATGCACACACACACTGTTTGTGATTATATAAAGATACATTAAAGTAAATATTTAAATAACTGATCTGTACCTCTTCATCAACTCAGTTTAACTGAAAACTACATCTGATCACTCCCTATTGTATTAGATTCTTACTTATAGGAGTGAACAATAGATTTTCTATTTCTATTATTAACAATTTAAAGGAGTTCTCAACTGGGAGCCCTGGGATACTTCAAGGGGGCTAAAGTTGAAAAATATATAGTGGGGGATGTGCCAAGGGAGCCCAAAAAAGCAATGTGTATGATATTGCAAATACTATCTAGCTGATGCCAGAAAAGGCATTGTTCCACATCTGTATCCATAATAAAATTTGGACAGGGGGCCACAGGAGAAAAGCAAGGTTAGAAGTGAGCCATGGGAGAAAAAAGGATGAGAAATACTGCTAGAGGATATATTTTCCCAATTCAGCCATATATCTAATTATAACTTTCCATAAGAACACCATGATGTTTTCCAGAGGTTATATATTCACAGTTGCAAGAAAGCCATATGGAATAGTGTTAAAGTGCTAGATTATGAGAGAGGAGATCGAGATTTTAGTCTTTAGACACAGAAGCCACTTTGGGTCAATCTATCCTTGTCAGCGCCAATTAGTCACAAGGTATTTATTTATTAAATTTGTTTGTCGTCCATCTCACTTCAAAGCAACTCTAGGTTGCTACAATATTAAATTGCTTGAAAGAAAATCCCTGTCCCTGATAGTTTTGCTGTAAGAATTAGATAAGCACAATGCAAAAACAAATGGGACTTGTGACTATGCAGGGCAAATGCTAAGAAAAACAACAACAGATGCTCATAACCACCCTAGTGTGTGTTTGTGTGTATGTGTGTATGTGTGTATGTGTGTTTAACGAGTGTTTTCCTTCCTCTTCCAATCTATTTTAAGTCGAAATTATTCCAACAAATCTAAAGTGAATATAGGTGGTTGACCAAGAGCAATTCAGTTCGAATGTGATTATTCAAATGTCAACATTTCTTACCCATTGCTGGAGTAGCCAGGGTCTGGCGTCCAACAAGCTGTGCAGGGCCAAGTCCATCCAGAAAATCACTGAATTGGCTATCGGTCGCCAACCGCACACCAGGGAAGATCAAACTAATAGAAAGCACATTTCTTTTTACCAATATGGTTCTAACACAAAGAATTATATTATAAATGTGGTCAACATGAGTTATGTTCCATTCCAAATCTAGTGTGCATTTACAAATGTTATTTTATGACACAAAAAGAAATTTATTATTGAATATACTGAATATTTTATTTGATCTTAAAAATATTTTTGATCATCATTATTACTTGTATTCTGGAGTCTGAACTGGAACCAAAAGATTCTAAGTTGCTTATATGAAAAAAAAAGCTGGTGTACATATCTCACATTGTTTATTGTATGTTGCAGTGTTTTAAACGTGGCTTTGAATATGGCAATACAATTGATTGACAGTTTCCTTATAGTTTCTGAAAAGAACCAAATTGGGCAGAACACATTTCCTGATATTTTCAGTCTAATTATTGAATGTAAATGTTGCTAATTAAAGGTATGTCATGTAAGAAGTTCCTCTGTTCTCAAGAGTATTTCATCTTCAAGAATTACTCTAAGCCTCTTTCAAATTATACATGAAGAATGACACTGAATGAAAGCAAAAGAGTTTGCCTTAACCTAAGCATGTTTGTTAGAATATTACAAAATGCCCTGCATTGCCAGATGGAACACTGCTACTGTGATGTCGTCCTTAGTTTCTAAATAATCTGGAATTTTTTGACTGACTGAAAAAATACTTGAATCACCATAAAGTATTTCTTCTGGTGTCATTGACAAATGATTGCATGGCTTGTTTTACCTCCTGTCTCTTCAAATGCACATTGCTCAAGATAGCTAGTTTCATACACATGTAACAGTGTCTAAACCAGTATTTCTGAACCTTGACAAGTTTAAGATGAGTTGATTTCAAATCCCCATAGTTGGGGAATTCTAAGAGTTGAAGTCCTGGGAGATTGGAATTTCTGGACTGGAATCCTGGGAGTGGCAGCCCGCCCATCTTAAGCTTCACAAGGTTGAGAAACACTGCTCTAAACAGAGACAGCAAAACTCAAGATGGCAGTCATGGTGGTGCACCTGACGCCCTGCCCCCTTTGTGCAGGTATGCACATACAAGAGGCATGGGATTTGATTATACTGAAGTGACCATCATCTTAACCTTTTGCTCCTTCTAGAGATGCCACTGTCCTTCCACAACAGCCTTTTCCTACTTGTTCCCTACCAACTGTGTTGAAGTAAAATTCCTATCATTCCCTTCTATCATGCCTATTGGTACACAGCAGTGGCCAGGCATGCCAGAAACAATTGTTGGGGAAGAAGGACAGGTTAAATTTTGCATTCCATTAAATGCATATGGTATGACTGCCCTTTTTTTACTTTGTTACATTTGTAAAGAATGTGAGCCTTATTTATGTGATAGCTAATCCAAACCACCAGTTCTGAAATTAGTATTGTGGGATATAGGAAAACTCAGTAGGGAGGAAGAGTAGCTGGTGGCAGTCTCTCACAACACCAAGTGATAGCAAATTATTATCAACCACTTAGGTGATGAGTTCTGCTAAGATCCATGAAAAGCAACATATTTGTAGAATAAAAATATATGTTTCATATATATATCAGTTCTTGTTGGATATGAAGCCCTGGGGGGGGGAGGGAGGGAGAGAGAGAGAGAGAGAGAGAGAGAGAGAGAGAGAGAGAGAGAGAGAATCACAGTTGTTGCTTTTTAAAATTGATATTCTATATTCAATTAACCTCACTGGGATTTAGAATGATGTATGTTCATGTGCAATATTGTTGTGATCTTAAACCCAATTTAAATCAACGACATTTGATTTAGAGATATTTATTTACAATTACAATCAGGACTTACTTTCCCTCTGAGCTGTAACTGTTCATGCTGCCATCTGTAGACTCTCTGCTGGCCTGACGTGTCATCCAATTTCTCATCTCCACAGCCAACCCAGTTTCTGTGCTTCTCTGTACTGTACTCTTCAATTTTTTACCACCTGCTTCTAGAAAAAAGTAAAAACACTTAGTTGTATCAAGTATCCGTATAAATAGAAATACATTTAACTGGCCAGTATAAATAGAGAAATTCAGAGTTATACAATTCTACAATGACACTAAAAATGCACTTTTTAATGGTACCATTATTTTAATGGTAGTTCACCCATATATGATCTTCAAAGTTAAACAGGCACAGTCAACCAGTTTTATTTACACTGAATGTATGAAAATAATTTTGCCTGGGTAATTATGTTCTCCACCTAGCAATTAAATTGGAAAATAGCTCTGAGGACAGTAATTATAATAACTATTGAATTAAGGGAAAGAACTTATAGTGTAAATTAGTTTAGGCACAAATAATTATATTTGGACCAAGAAGTATCCTTTTATCTGGTCAATACAAACTACAAAAAGACAGTGAACCAAAGCATGGTATATACAGTATACTTTGCATCTGTTGCTTAAATTCTTCACTTGCATTGCTTCATCACATTTCACCTTTTATTCAGGAACTGAGGAGTTTATATATAGCATTCGCTTCTATTTTCTTGAACAACCTCTAAATCTAGTTAAGTTAAATAACTAGAAGAATATTATTGTCAGAACAATATTGTCTTTCTATAGCAGCCTCCATGTATACAGGCACTGCATGTATCTGCTACTTCAGCATCAGATATTGCTTAATGTTCTCAGGAATTTCCAGAAGCTAAAATCAAATAGCATATTGAAGCAAGCTTTTGTACAAGAAAACATGTATTATATTACATGTTTTATTTCATATTTGCAAAGTAAAATGTTATAACTTTTCCTTTCTAAAGAAGGGTAATGTTTTAATCATCGTTTCCTTTGAATTTAACACATGCTCCTACTGAATTTGACCATAACAATAAACTAGTATAACAACAGCAATATTCTGCTAATTCAAATGCTTCCCATAAACATAATACTCTGAATGCTCTGTAATATTTAAATTCTGAATATTATTATGAGTATTTGCAGAGTTTTAAACAGAGTGACAAATAAACTCCAATTTAATACTCAATCTCTAAATTTATTTATTTATTGCATTTATTGCATTTATCAACTGCTCCAATCCTGAATGATTCTAAGCAGTATACTAAAAAAAACAAACACATAGTAATAAAGTTGTATATATGTGTGTTAATAATTATTCAACAGTAGGAATTTAAATATTTTGAATCGTGAAGAATGAAGTGAGTGTTAAATCCTGAATAATGTACTCATCTTAAGAGGAAGTATAGCATGCATAGAATTTCTGTAAATGTATATCTTAATATGTTTTGAAGCATATCCAAACTGGTGCATCTGCTATTTTTATATCTTGCAGCATAAAGTACAATGCAGGAGGAACTGTGACTATATTTAGCTAGGAAACTGTTCACTATAGAAAGCTTGCTAAATTTCAACATGTAAGATATCAGAATATGGCCTATCATTTGGAGAAATGATGACAAGAGATTGTGATTTTTAATATTTTATACACCTGTGATTCAACAGTCAAACTTTCAGTGTCACAATAGTCTCCACTTTGCAGTTTTAAAAGCTACAAACCACAGCAATAAAGTTAATTTATTCTTCATTAAAGTACTTCTGTTGCTTTTCCTCAAATTATATGGGAAAGGTGATTAATCTCTATCTTCTAAAATATATATTTAGGTAAGTAAAAATTTTCTAACTCCTCAAAACGTTTTTTTAAAGTTATGGGTTCATATTTTTGGATGTCAACTTCCTAGACCAATTTTCAAAAAAGAAAATTTGAGTAAATAACCAAATCCCTACCAGTCTTGAGTACTCTTCCCCCTATTTAATAAATATTTCTTTGGCACACACTTTTAAATGTGTATGCATATATGTAAGCATGTTTTGTATATTTTCCAGAAACCTCATACTACAAGAAAGCACCCAGTCAGGATATACCAAAGTATTAATTACATATAAACTACATATTTAAATGTAATTAATGTCTACTAATTAAAATCAATTGCCTGTAAAATAATTATATTGTACTGTACTCATTTTCACCCACATAAACCGCTTAGAAGTACACAAGAAAAACAACAAGAACACCAAGCATATGCATACATTTATACTCAGATATAATTCCCTTCTTCTTTCCAGCAGAAGCAGTGAAAGGAGAAGGAACAACAACAAAAATAACCAGGGCTTTTTTTTCTCATAGAACACCCATAACGGAGTTCTGGCACCTTTTTTGGATGGAATCTTATAGAGTAGGCAAGGCGGGTTGTATGACGTGTGTGAGTTCCGGCACCTTTTTTTTTTTTTTTTTTTTAGAAAAAAAAGCACTGAAAATAACAATAAACAAATAATAAGAACAGACTGAATATGGAATAAGGAAGACTAGTCCCACTGGGCAGGGAAAGAAATTAGAAAGGAAGAAAGGGAAAGGGTTAACCAATCAAGGAAAGGGGGAAAATGACAAATAATCCCTTTAGGTTTCACAAAAAAGATTTAAATTCAGCAAGTTAGCAGTGCTCCAAGTAACAAGCTATGGCTGTGGTTATTTGCTCCTCCTCCCACTTGCTTAATTTTGATCAGGCCTTCTATAGTTTGCAGCCAGATGTACTCATTCTCCCACCCTCTCATTTTATATTTTGTAATGTTTAGAAACACTGCTCTTCTAAACATCAGTTGTCAGGAAAATTAGGCAGGAAAGAATTGAAGTTCTGCCTGGTATTCATGATGCAAAACAGGTAACTGGACTAGGAAGACATCAAATGTCTTCCCTTCTAATCACGGAAAGGATAATCAGGTAGTTAGCAATTCAATGGTGCATACCACAAAATTTATAAATTTGCACAGTAATGGGCAGGAAATCACACTTGGCAACAAGTAGGTAAGAAATTCAAATGACATATTTTATGGAAATTAATTTCTTTTTGAGAAAGGTTATATTTGAAAGATTGGATAACAAATGATGAAGCATCAAAGCTATATATCAATGATAGAAGTGTTGCGGATCTACAAGAGAAGTTATCTGTAAGTGTTGGAGAAAGAAGATATGGTGAAAGAACAAAGTTAGATCATTACTGTATATGGAGAGGCAGTACAACAGAACATTAGTTCCTCCCAGATTGTCTCAGTTCGGAATGAAAGGTATCTCACAAGAAAATGGCTATGTAAATTTCATCCTCCATTAAGAAGCCAATTTGAAATATCTATCAATCTCTGACAGGTTTGTCCCCATGGATTTTCCATGCAGTAGCATGTAATGCCTCAGGTAATAGGCATTGCAATAGTCTACCAAGCTTCTATTTCCTTAACAATATATCTTCTGGTCTTGAATATGATATGGAAGGTATTTTTATTTATGTGGCAAGTTTCTTCTGTGTTTGAAGAACTCAAAGACTCAAGCACGCAGACAACACAAAAATGAATGAATATAGTCCTTGACTTATATTTAATGATGGTTCAAAGTTACAGCAGTCACCAGAAAAAGTGACTTATTACTTTTACTCTCATTTATAACTGTTGTGCCACTCTTACAGTTATGTGATAATGATTTAGGCTGTGGGCAACTGGCTTGTATTTACAAGCAGCTATGGTTATGTGACTGCAATCTACAATTTTTTTTGCAAATTTCTGGAAAAAATACCAAGTGGGGAAATTAATGACGGTGTGATTTTCGTTACAACTACAGAGATTTATTTAACAATTGCTGTGAAAATTGTCATTGGGACTAAATTGACTTATGGTTGCAACATCTTAAGATGGAAATTCCGGCCCCACTTGTGGTCATAAGCTGAGGGCTACCTGTATTGCAAAGGACTGATAGTGTGAGAAAAAGACAGCTGCCCTCACATGGAATGGCTCTGAGACTCAGCCCTCTAATGAAACTAATTTAATTTGTTAAAATTTTAATTTCTAAGTGCTCAATACAGAGCTGTAAAACAGAATTCCAATTTGAAATTACATAAGCTACATAACTGAAGATTCACTTGAGGGACTATAATTTAGCATGAATTAAAATATTGTTGCCTTGTATTCAATATAGAAAATTACATAACATTATGAATAATATGAAATACTATATTTTGGAATAAACATACATATATATAATTAGGTATGCCAAACACTGCAAAATAAAAACACTGAATAGAGAACCAAAGTTAAATAAAGGAGAAGCAATTTTAAATAGATTCTGCCACTGAGATTGTAAATCCTCGATTTAAATTGATATCTTAACTCTACTACCGAATATGCATGGCCCTTTGAACTAGAAGCCTTTCCGTGAGTGAGGAGATGCAGCAATAGCTATATCCTTAGCTGACCATGGACTACTTTGTTCTATCAAAATGGCTGCCACTCACATAATCAATTCAAAAGCATATTTACAAAAAAACAAACAAAAAAACTCACCCGAAGCTGACAAGGATGATCCCCCATCACCACCACCACAACCAGTTTATTTGCAGGAAAACAAAATATAGTTTTATAAAGATGATTTGTTTTATGGCATGCCACCTCTTCTTTAAAAAAATGGAATCTAAAATAAAAAAATAAAGCCAATGGAGGGACAAGATACGACAGAACCAAAAAAGATTTTATTTGGCTCCAATTTAGAAATTTACATTTAAAGTTTGTATTCTGAATGTTCTGTGTAGCTCATTTAAAAATCTGTATGAATTGGCTGCAAAAATAGTGCAAACTTTTTGAAGTACTCACTCAATGCACTGACATGCCGCAATAGCTAAGTTTAGTGAATGGCCATCTGCATATATGCATAAAATGCAGAAGTAAGCAACCCTTTGATGAGCAGGGGCTTCATTTAATGTTTTTTTTTTAAAGTTGAGCAGATGTAGCATGTAAGGAGAGAACTTGGAGTGATGGTTGCATACTTTCTTTGGAAAAGCAATTTGTGGGGGGTTAATTTTTAAAAACTGCATTAAGTATACTTGGAGATATAAGCAGCAGTTCTTCTTAAAATCTAAAAATGGCATTAAATTATGTCACCAATTTTCCAATA